GCCTTCTTCGTAGAGGTATCCCAGTCACTGTCCCTCCTTGCTGAATCCGGACTACCAGAGAGGATGTCGCTAAATTGCTGAAATAACATCCCAAATACTCACTCCAATGTTTATCAAGATTCATTTAGTTGAATATCTTTACTATTTGGATCAAATCATACAAATGCTGCTGTAGCTAAAATTGTGTCAAGAAGTTCGTAAATTGTACTAATAGAAATTCTCTCAATTACTTGCTCTTAACGTCGAAAAGCTTGCATGAGCAAAAGTTCTATATCAATGAGAATGAACAACCAACTAGTGCATTTTTGGGAATTGCACGATATCAAGAAAATACTTAGAAATAAAATCGCACTTGAAAAGTTTAGCTATTTCAAAGATGCTTCACCTCGCACGTAACAGCTAGTGCTACTATAAGTTCTGTTAAGCACTACTTCCATACTATCAATCTAACTTGTGGCAGTTAGCAAAGAAGGTGAACTGAGTTTCTGAAGGGGGTTGGAGGGGTTGCTTTGCATTTGGTGCTCGAAAACTCACTCTCCAATCAGCTAATGTGCTAAAAAAAAGTAGCCAATCAAAGAAAAATGGGAACCCGACTACATTCTCTGCAAAGTAATCTCAACTTTTAGCACAGAAATTGGGAAAAATCCCAGTCTTTTTTTTATAATATCACAATTTTACTTCGAGGAATTTGTCATTGCCAAGTTTGAAAACTGCAACAGAGAAAAGAGTTCGTACTGCAGTACCTGCGAAAAGAGAGTGCTGATGAAGAACAATAGCAACCAATCCCTGCCATTTCCAGCCAGAGAGGTCTGAATATCTTTAGCTCCAGAAGAGTACACTGATACTGATTGTCTTTCTTGGGAGACCAGAAATCTAAGACAAGAAATGGGTGTCTGCCACGTGGCAATTATGTATTCAACCCTGGATTGGATATCTTTCTTTACTGGTGTAACTAACGCGCACAGGTAGTAAGATTTTTTACTTTCGTAACGGATAAAAACCATACAGATATTTGAGGCATCATGGCTTGTTTTGGGCCTCAGAGCCTACATTACTCAAAGAATGTTGGGCCAGATTGGGGTACTCAATTGGTGAATTTGGGGGAGTTCCTGAGAATTCATTTTCCTTCTTGTTCTTTTTCAGTTCTTATTCTGAATTTGGGAGTTCAGCTATGGACCCTTCTTTCGTTTTAGTTTTTCTGCATTTGCATCGGACACTCTTCACGAGCTTCACCATGTATTGTGACAAATCAGCAAAAAATTTCTTGTACCATGCCGTATCTAACCTGCTAAAATTTCAGACTTAACTGCAACAGGCCAAGAGATCCAAGAGAAGTTAATCTGAAAAATTGTAGCTTTATGTAAGAATGCTCCAAAATTACTGCTTTATCCGGCTCTTTAAATCTAATACTACAGTTTGAGGGTGATGATTACAGAGTCATACCAAGTGAAGTGAATTAAATATTTTTGCACAAGGGCAGATATAAACACATTCGGCATTCAGCAAGATGGCTTCTATGCCAGAACCAGCTACTTTTCGATCCCCAATTTTTAGAGGTATTTCATGCTTTCAGAAACCATTAACCAGAATCAGGTACGATCTCAACCATGAAATCACATGTCACGCCAAAAAATAACGAGACAACATATTTATTCAAATTTTCTTGAGGATAGGAAAGAAAAGGAAGGAAGGCATTTGACATGAAACATAGTCCAGGTGTATGGACCATCCCCTAACAAAGAAAAAGCAGCAGACTAAAAAACAGTTGAATCCTCTTCCACTTGTACATGTTCCAACAGCCTTCCACACCTATCAGCAAGACGACTTAATCAGCACTAGCCCTCTTCTTGGTGGTGTATGGGTAGTACTCCTTGCCATTATCTATTCTGGTGGTCTGACCTCCAACGTCAATAAAAGCAGAAGTGGCTGCAAGCGCAGCTCCTGCAGATAGTGCAGTTGCAATGCTCTTTCCTGTAGAACATTTTCCAAAAGGATTTAGCAACCAAGGGAAAGTTGGGCCTGTAGCCGAGCCTCACTTCTGAAACTAAAGGAAACCTTATAGTGCTATCAAAAATTGGTTCTGTACTGAGGATAACAAAATAATGTTTTCCATTAGGGAGGCTTCCTTATTAGCAGATCCCATATCTCCAGTAAACAACTATGCAATGAGATTCTTGAAAGTCGGGAGTGTAAATATGGGTTCATAACAAGGATAAAAACAAACTACAGGAACAGACACAGGCATCCACTAAATGACATAAAATACAGAAAACAAACTTATGATGTGTAAAGTTTCATAATACTGTTTATGGATAATCGAGTGAACCTACAAATATGAGACGTTAAAATGTGCCTCGAGATGTGTGTTAAATCTGAACATTTTGATTGAGGCGCTTTAAGTATATCCATTATGTAAAAGGCATACAGCTATGTGCCACAGACCCATATAAGGCTTCACAATATTTAGTCTTTTGCAATTATCATCTTCAACAAAATGTCAAACAGACAAAATAAAGAGAACCTCAAGTCTAACCATGGGCTTCATGTGAAATTCCACATCTTATTCTGCAGTGTCTATCATAACACCAAATTTTAAGAAAGAGAAAGACAACCTTTGTAACCCACAACAGTAGCACCAGCTGCAAACCCACCAACAGCTCCGTTGATAAAGTCTCTTTTCATCCTATAATTCTGCAACAACTGTTCTACACCAATATAAACCCCACCAATGGCAGCAAAAGTAATCCCATGGTTTCCCATCATCTTTAGAGTCCGGATCAGCCCAGGAAGTGCAACTCTTCTCTCAACACGAGGCACGTCCTGCCAGGTCGCAACGATGGTTCCCCATATAGTACCAGCGACTAGACCTGAAGTAGCACCCTTAATTGTTTTCATCAACGGAGTATCTTCATCTTCTAAGTACCTTAGTTCTGCCGGATCCATAACTTTGGCCAAACTGGAGAAAAAGACAAATAACAATTATATCAAGCTAAGGTATTAGTTAAAAAATCATTCCTAAAGTGCAAAGCATTAGTACAAGAAAAATTAGGATTTTGAAAAAAAAAAACAACTAAGAAATGGTGTGATTAACATACATATAATGCCACCTCTTATTTGCTTATTTGGTTTCACTTTTGTTTTCTCTTACTTTGTACACAAAGAACCCATTTCTAAACAAAATATCAAAAAGTCTAATAACCTTTTGATGACTTACAAAGAAAAAAGCTAAAAAAAAAAAAAAGTCCAGAGCATAGACCCGAAAGTTATGTTTGAACTAGATTACCATATTTACTATGCATACATCGAAGAAAGAAAGCCCAGATTGAACTTATAAGGGAAGAAATCATTTAAAACAATAGATTTTCTGCATTGTAGTATCCTCTCCACAATTCCACTTATGTCCAAGTAAAACCATAGCTTCCTGGATTTCACAAGCCTTTCCAGCATATATCAGAGACTGATGGTAGGTAAAATATCTCAAAGTCAGAAACCCCTGAAAACTTCACCACCTATAAATCCAATCCTAAGGCATCATACGTAAAACCTACATTAAAAAAAACATTTGAAACGAAACAAAATTGAGCCATATATCCACAATGATTTTAGCACCCATTTAGCTAGGATCACAAATTAAAAAACAATCAATTTATCGTGGCTGAACATTTGGCAGACTTTCGAATTGAAAATCCCCTTATCAAATTGCTCAAACTCTAGAATCCCAATTCGATGTCCTTCAATATTTCACTCTTAATCTTAACAAGCAATAAAATTCAAGCAAGCACTGATAAATATATGAATGGCAGTGACGATTAGCATAAATTAAATTCCAAAATACAACATAAAAAAGAAGAAGAGGAAAGAAGGGAAGCTTACCAGACTTGGCACTGATCTGCAGTGGCTATTTCAGAGAGAGAACAAGAAAAGAGAGGACTTGGAGCAAATGAGATAGGAACCGGCGTGGAGACTACAGAGTGAGATTGACATACGTTTTGGGCTCATAAACGAGCTATGTCAAGCCCAACGCGACAGGATTCGGGGCTCGTCCAATGTTTGTTTATTTTAAAGATGTTGAAATTGTGTTTAAACTTGCCTTGATTATTTATCGAATGGAAGGTAAATTTGTATTGATTTTTTTTTGAAGGTAAAATTTCTTTTTTAAAAAAAAAAGGAAGGCAAACTTGTATCCAGTTGAGCTCGAGTAGGTTGAAAATTTTACATATAAATTTCAAACTTTATGCTAGTCAAGTTAATTTCGACTCAATTTTGAAATATTACTAAACATAAAAGTTTGTTATATTTGGTTGTCTATCAAAACTTGAACAAGTTTTTAGTAAGAAAATTGTTAATGGTACTCCACTTTGTGTTACAGCACTCAAATTACTATCATTTTTATCACATAATTTTGATTTATTAGATCATATGATAAAACAAATGGTGAGAGTGTCATTAATAAAAAAGTGAAATGCGATTAACATTTCTCTATAATTAATAATTATGTATCAATATCATCTCTCTTTTTTTTTCATGTTATTTACTGTAACTCTTGTTACTACACTTGCACCACACATATTCATATGGTCTTAGAGGTATAATGCCCTGACTGACTGTGACAGTAATCAGAATTAAATTCATCCAAACTTTTTATTACATAAAAAAAAATCCTTGCACCTTCATTTCTATTGATAAAAATAAAAGAAAAATGAAAAGAAAAGGTTCCATGCTAAGTGAGCAAACTACGAGACACATGTTAGCAACATTTATTGTGAATTAAGTTTAATTTGATTATTTGGAAAGCCAATATTAACTAAAATTTGATTATTTCTTTTTAATAAGATGTAATGTAACTCTCATGGTTGAGAAGTACAATTAGTCCAAAAATTGCATCATAAACGCTCAAATAAAGTCATTAGATTACATTCATTACTTTTGAACGCGTCCAAATCCTGTAAGTGGTGGGCCTGATTTGGAATTTTGATGATGATTCAACTTTCAATCCTTGTCTCCGTGGACTAAACCAAAGCCCACTCAGCCCATTATTACAGCTCTCGTCCTCCACGACGGACGTCTGCTCTTCGAATCGGCAAACTTCATCGGAGACTCTGCTTAAAACACTCGACTAAATAAATTCATCAATTCTTTTCCACAGAAGAAAAAAAAGGAAAGAAGAAACTCTGCCGGAAATGCAGAGCCAAGAGGACATTCGTAATTTACCTATCGATATCGCATTCGCTCGTCTGGGAGGTAATTTTTAGCACACCTCGACCTCTCTTTTTTTTTTTCACTTTTTAATTTCTAGATTGCTGTGAAAGCTAGTGTTTTTTGGATGTTAATTTTAATCTGAATTTCCGTTGAAGAATGGTTGGTGGATCGGAGGAGAATTCCGGCGGACTGGCGGAAGCGATTGGCGGCAGTGAGAGCCAAGATATCGGCAGCGTTTGCCTCGCTTCCCAAAGACCTTGATCCTTACTTCCAAACCCTGGACCCTGAAGGTTTTTTTCCTTTTCTTTTCCCCTTTTTATTATTATTTTTTTTGAAAAACAAATGTTGCTGAAGAATCAAAGACGATGAGTAGGGCCCATAATCACATGGCTATAGCTATATTTGTTTTCATCAGTTTTCTTTTGTTAGCTCTGAATTTGATTATTTTAGGTTGAAAAATGAAATCAATTTTGCACGTACACTCAAAGAGATGCATAGCTTAGTGTACTGCGTGGTCTTCTTGAGTGGACTAGTTTCGAGCATTTTCACGTCTGAGGTGGAAATTACTTCAATGATATTGAAAAACGAGTTCTTGGGTGAAAATTGGGATCAAATTTGATCTTTCCTAAGATTTAAGCATCCATCTTTGCTTCCAATTTGGATGATGGAGGAGTTAAGGAAGGGAAAGGAGAGGGAGGTGGGCGGAGTTTACTCTAGTAAAAGATCAGATTATAAATGTTACTTCTTTTTTTTTTTTTTGTGCCGAATCGTTATTTCTTCTTTTCTCACATTTTCCTTTAGGGTGGATAGGGGAAAACGGTGAGTGCTATTTCTCTTGGAAAGGGTGAACCTGAGCACTTACTATTTGTCTTGGAAAGGTTGAACCTGAGCATTTATCTTGGAAAAGGTGGCCTTTAGCATTGGTTTAAGCTTGCGCACTTTACTGGATTGCTTAAGGTTTCTAAACTTTCATGTACTTTCCCTTTGCGGTGCGTATTGTCATTTCGAGTCAATACCAATTGTGAATGTACTAGATTTGCTGGTTGGTTAACGTTTTTCAGAAACAGGGTCAAATAAGGGAAAAACTTGGTCATTTTAAGCAGGGATATCATTTCCTTTTCTTCGTTTTATGTCCAAGCACAAGAATATACAAGCAGAAGAAGAGTTTTTTTATCCAATAGCTAGTGATAAATAGAACATGAATCTACAATTACTTTTTGTCACTGAATATCGTGAATATGCAATTTTTTTTTCTCAAATTAAGCACTTTATTTGTTCTGTTTTTATCAGTTCTTAATTATTTAGAAGCTTGATATTTTCTCAGTTGGTGACATATTCTAACTTGTCTCTGTCCTAAGATAAGAATCTTACTTCCTGTCAAATTGTGTCCCCATTGCCATTTTACGATTTTAATGATCCTCTTATGGGGGTAAATTTTGGTTCCGCCTGCTAATTCAATAGCTTGTAGGAGTTTTTTTCTAATTATAAAGTCTTTACACAGTTAGCATAGAGGTAAATTTACTTTGATATCTCTTGTATAATCACACACATTCACTTTTCAGGCATTAGGTACTTAGAAGCCAAAGAAATATATGAGATTCTCCTCAAGTCAACTCCAGAAAGCCGTAATATATTTGGAAGGCTTTCAGGTGCTGCTGTAAGATCCGCAAAGACATCATCATCATCTTCCTAATCTCTACCTTCCTTCCTTCTCTCTGTGTGTTCGTGCTTGTGTATGTGTACCTGGACGTGTTTGTCTGTCTTCTCATCTGTGAGTGGTTACATGTGTGTGCATTTGTGTGCCTCAGGACAATCTTTTTTTGTGACTGTGAATGTGTTGCATTTTGAACAGGGTGCTTGGGAGGCAATTGTGCGTGCTTTTGAGAAGGATTCAATTTTCCTGGGAGAGGCTGCTCAGATAATGGTCCAAAATGTTAATTATGAAATGTAAGCTAGGTCAAAGTCATACATGAAGCAAGCATAGAATGTCTGATTAGTTATTTCTGTCTGCTTATTTATCCTTATCTTTTCAACTTTTAGACCTTATCAGAAGAAGCAGGTACAGAAGATTCAGCAGCAACTTGTTGAACTGGAGCGGAAGGAATCTGAGATAAAAAGAAATGCAGCCCTTTCAGCAACTAAATATGCAGAGGCTTGTCAGGATCTGGGATTGCAGGTTATGCTTTAATTTTTTTTGGCCACTAATTAGTTATTACAGTATATTTTTATAATAGTGGTCCATAAATGAGAATATTGTTCTGCTTTCCAGGGAGTAAATGTGAGGTCAGAGCTGTTAGAAACTGCAAGTAAAACTCTTCCAAGCACATTTAGCAGGATACTAGAAGTATTGAATGGTGATTCTGTGTCACTGGCTATTGAATTCTATTCAGCCTTTGTCAGAGATGCTCATTCTGAACAGGAGGTAAGTGAGAGTAAACAGTGTTGGAATCTGAACTTTCTGGGGTAAATATAAAAGCATGGTGGAGTATGTTAGCACTGCAAAATCATGGTGAGAGATGCCAATTTTATCATCACGCAAGAATTTTCCACTCTACCTGTGAAAACTTTGGAATTGATTTTTAGTATGTGTACTCCATGAAATGCCGCTATCTCTTAGTATTGTTGCTACCTGTCAAATTTTTGTTTCAACTCTAGTTTGTGAATTCTGATTTTTCATAAGCGCCTACTTTATATTGTGTCTTTGTTCGAAATGTTTCTCATTCTTGTAGATGTACTGTTTACTATGTAAAGATATAGGACAATTGCTTTTCCATGCCAACAAAAATAAAAATATATGGTGAAAAGCTACTAAGATATTATAAAATCATGGTGAAGATTATTTACTAACAAATGTTTTATCTATGCGTGACTTGTGTTCAATCTGGGTGCAGAAAACTGTGGGGACTGTGTTGCCAAATTTAAGAGAAGTCCGTGAAAAGCCACCTTCTATTACAATTTCTGTTTGCTCTGAAGCTGTTGATTCTGCTGTTGCTCAACCCAGCCAGAGCGAACCAAACAAAATAGCTGGGGAGACAGACTTTGCAGCCGACAGTATTGATTGGGATATTACATTGGACAGCTCCCAGATTGACTGGGATATTGGTACCATAGAAGAGACAGAAGAAAATGGCAATGGACTTGGTCCTTATGAAATTGTTAATGCTAGTGATTTACCAAATTCTGCTGATAGTGAAGGTATTGAGTTGGATGAGACGGGACTGATGAAGGAGGAGTTTCCAGCACCTGAGGTTGCTACATCAGAGATCTCCTGGGATATAAGTGTTGAAAATCCTGAATTCAATGTAACTGAGGAAGCTGGTTCTTCTGGTTTGCATTCGGAGCCTTCCTTGTTCACGCCAAACACTTCATCAGAAGTCCAAGGCAGTGCAAAAGAGAGAAGTCCCCTTCTGGAGACTGATTATAGGAATAAGATTCTTGATGATCTGTTTGAGGTTAATATGGCTTTAAACCTGTTACTTGATACCTTTAGTAGTTGCTATCATGATTTTCTTTGTTTGTTTCTTTGTTTTCTTTTCTTTTATGAAATTTTCTATATAATTCTTGATTTTCATTTGACATTCTTTCATCAGGTTAAAGCATTTCTGAATCAACGCTTGAGTGAATTAACAAATGAAGAAACTCTGTCATTGCAACATCAAGTCCAGGCAGTTGCTCCTTTTGTCCTGCAGCAGTACTCTTCTGATTCAATCCAGCCAATGGTTTCTGACGTTTCATTGGTTATATCATTGCTAACAAATAGGAAAACGAGGGACCTTATTATGATTCTCAACTCAAAAAGGTGATGACTTTGTTTAAACCATGTACATAGTCTTTGATCATTGTTACTCCTACTGTGGTTGAATACTTTCCGGCATCATTCATATAAAATATACGTACTTAAGATGTAGAATGCTTATGGTTATCTATTTGTTGTGAATAAAATGGCATCTTGATGTCAAGTTTTGACTTTGTACTTTAAGCCTTTTCCAAATGTATGTATGGTGGCTCCCAGAAGCAAATATTTGCAGCCTCTGTGTGCCTGTGTGTGGGTGGATCAGTGGTCTGCATCTTGATACTATACGATGATTTGTACAATGGGTACTCACGTATACACTATACAAACTTTAAATTGTATGAATAAGTATGCATTGTTTGTTTATAGTTGATGGTGTTTTGTTGACAATGCTTGAGTTGTTTTCCGCTCTTTTCTGAAGTCGCATTACAGTGCAGTTGTCATGCTTTTTATTCTGAGCTTTTTTTTTTTTTGGCAGCTGAGTATTTACTGTAGATGCTTCCCAATTTCAGATTTTTGGATAGACTGGTGAAGACCTTGGAAGACAAAAAGCACCACGAGATCAAGTTAAAGGAGGGATTGAAGGATTTGGCTATTAGGCGGATGGAGCTTCAAAATTTATTATCTTCTTCATGGCCAAAACAAGTGAGTTAATAATGTTTGAATTGGTGGTCTAATCTATTTCTGCAACACCAAATTGTTTTGGTGATAGAGTATGAACCTGTTAAATACTAAATATGGCTTCTAGAAAGAAACAATAGGGACAAATATTTTTTGTTGTTATGAAACTGTTGCACATTTTGAAAGGCAACTTACAGGTTTTATAAATGGAAATTGAGTTTGTACAATAGCTGTGTTTGTTAAAGACTATAAGGCTCTGTTTTTGATGTCATCACCTACAACTGGTGAAGCACCATGGTGTCTTAGTTCTTTCTGCCATCTTTTCCTCTTAACAGTAGGAATGACGTATCTCGATGGTTCCTCATATTTGTCCCTCTAATGGGTTCAAAAGGTGTATTTCCGTTCAAATATTGTACGCAAACTACTTGAGATGGAAACATAACACTTAATTCCTTAGATTATAAGGATTTTTGAACTTCCTTTTAGTTGATAGCTTTCTTCTTCAGTACTTTGATACTTGCTCGTCTTGATGCAGGAATTGGCGTTAGCAAAGACCCGAGAGTTAAAGAAACTTTGTGAATCTACACTTTCGTCAATGTTCGATGAAAGACCGGTTAATATAATTGGAGAGATAAATACGTTGCTGAGTAGTAGTATTTTCAGTGCGTAGATGCTTGTGAAACTTCTCTCTTTCTTCCCTGTCCATTTTTGACTAGGAAATGGACGAACGTGGAAATCAGAACTGATCGTTGTAAAAACTATTTAGCAAATATATTTGATTGAAGTTATAACATGGCTAGAGATTTATTTTCCCTATTACAACATAATTGAAGTTACAAACAATGAGGGTTGACCCTCGTAGCGTTATACTGAGTTGGTGCGGCATAATATGCTAGAAAGCTTTTTCACAGAAATGAGAAATGATCGTATGCCGAAGCGCATTCGATGCTGGGATGTTCTACCTGTAGAACTTCCCTAGTTTGAATGACACGGACCTATGAATTACACTTGAGCAGCCTTGTTAATACACGGACCTATGTTTCTGTATTCTGCACTCTTTGGGATGTTACCAACATCTGCTGTCTTATTTCAATCCTGCATGAATGTTGTATTTGATAGCACTCTAGTTCCAGTTTTAACTGGAATACAGGTCTCTCTCCTTTGGGCCATGTAAAGGAAAAGGAGATTTTACAAAGTGTATACCTCAATAAGGTATAATATGCTCTGTTAGCAAGGATTGTTGTTGTTTGATGTTTTGCATTTACTTGTGATTTTACCGAGACTATTTTCTAGCGAGATGCTACTTTGCAGGTAGCTTCTCAACATTTTATTGAACTTAACTTTGAGATAGAATAAATGTAGAGTTCCTCATAACAACGAATGTATTTCATTAATACTCAGATTATGTTCACTTCATCTGTAATGAACAGGAAACAAAGATGCTAAACCTGATTCTGTGCCTACTGCTGTCATGGTACAGGATATGTTCAACAAGCTGCATATCACCGAACACAATCAGCAAAATGGGTAAAGGACTTCGCAGTCAAAAAGAAGGATTGATGCAGTAGAGTGAATGGAAAACTTCATTGTAGAAATGATCCAGAAGTTTGAATGGCGAACAGAAAATTCATCTCTTTGAGATCTGTGGGAGCATTTTGTAGAATTTCGCGAGGTTAACCATACAGAGCTGAGATATTAAACCTTTTCGGCTAAAATGCATAAAGTCGGCAAAGAACTTCGGAGATCAAGAAATCAAATTTCAAGATCAAATGGAATAGTAGCTCAGTGTTGGTGATCCAAAAAAGCGCGAGTTCGTGGAGCGGAATGATCGATTGCAGGGGTCACCTTCACCATCTGCTGTGTCTGTTCCTATTCCTGGGGCAGGCTTTTGTATAAAAACTAACAGTGACTCCACAACTTCAGACATTGTTGCACGAAATTCCCTCACAGGCTGCAAATATTAGTTGAACAAACAAACACATGAGACAGAAATAACAAAAATTTAGAAAGCTAAGAATTGTGAGGCCAAAAACAAAAAGTTAGCTCTGTTTCTTCAAAATCGCATCGAAGATGCAGTAATATCGTTCAAGGATGACGATGACTGCACTGGACTAGGTTCAGATCAGATGCATTACTGATTCAAAAATACTATGAGGATTAGAGGAATGAAATCAGAATCATCAGATGCTTATCGGCGTGCTGATGCAATCAGTTTCAAAATTTCTTCAGACAAAATTTCTTCAGAGCCTCCTCTGAAGAAATTTCGTGCGTCTCTATTGTGCAATACCTGGACACAGAGGGAGACGATGTCAGCAAAACGAGAAAGATCCTGGGGGGAGATTGATGTTTTGATTGCTGGATCAACCATTCCAGCCAGGTAATCACTATCATGAAGCCTCCTTGAAGCCCACTGGACTAGGAACTGCTCTTCTGTTGGTTTTGAACTGCTCCAACCAAAGGAAAGAACTGTCAGCAGAAGCAGAATTGAATTCTAGCAAATTCAGTTCATATATAGCTTCTTTACCTGTCAAAAGATGGCCTTCCTGTTAAAAGCTCTAAAAGCAACACACCGAAGGCATAGACATCAGCCTTCAAGTTATTCATTCCAATGTAAACATCTTCAGTCGCAATGTAGCCACTATCAGCAATAGCCATTTCCGAAGCCTGTTTGCATCAATAGCAATTGACAAGAAGTTTGAGCTCATTATTTAGAAAATCTCTAAATCAAAATAAAGCAACATGACGAAGAGGAGGCGTTTTTGAAAGTAAACTACAGATTTTGAAACCCGAAACATACTCCATGATTGCTAAGAAAAACAGGTTCTTGAAGAATGTACCTTGAGTTTTACACTGTTGCTTGAGAGGGGTCTCAAGATAGCCAGGCCAGAGTCGCAAATGCGAGGCCTCAGATCTTCATCAAGTAAGACATTGGCTGCTTTCAAATTGCTGTGGGCAACTGGAGGTTCGCAGGAGGAATGCAGGTAACTGAAAATTCCACAAAAATAGCGGTGTGTGTTCAAGAAATTTGAACTACAAAACTGTATGTTTCCAAGAAATTGGAACTAAAACCTACTACAGTGCCAGAAATCCCAAGAGAATATTCTAGGATGAGTATGGTAGTGGGAGTTATGTGTGTCAAAATATGATACAAAAAATATTATTGGCTTAGTTTTGAATTCTTACTTCACCCCCCGAGCTACACCAAGAGCAATTCGTAGACGAAGATCCCAAGATAGCGGTGTGTACTCAGTACAATGCAAGGCATCGTCAAGTGACAAATTCCTAACAGACTCATAGACAAGGAGATGCTGTCCATGCTCCATACAGTAGCCAAGGAGTGTTACAATGTTAGGATGTCTCAATCTGGAAGCATTCCTTACAACATTCAAGAATTGTTCTTCTTCATGAAGAGACAATTCTACAGTGCTAATGTTCTTGACTGCCAACAACTGGAAAAGACAAAAGAATGACTTGTCAATATCTGAGATTCTACTTGGTTCTATATATCAAAGTTCTAGTTTTGACCTCTCCATCAGGCAACTTTGCGCTATAAACAGAGCCAAGGGATCCCCATCCAAGAAGGTTTTCCTCACTGAAGCTGTTTGTTGCTAGTTGAAGCTCTGCCACAGTGTAGCGTTTTGCACTTATCGGGACTTTGCTCGTCTTGGAAAAACTTCTTCTGGAGACTTTCATTGGTTTGCTACGAATGGGAGGTAAATGCAAGGATTTGATTCCTGAAGAAGAGCTAAGTATTGATAGGTGCGGGCTACCCTCAGCGGCTGTGGAAGAAAACTCTGGCCAAATGGTACAAAAGAAGAAAAGGGATTGAAAAAAAACACTACGTTAGAGATACAAATTTCTGTAGGGGCAACAACATAGCAATTTCATTTGTACTGCTAAATTGCCAAGTGTCAGACCAGGGATCAATAGGGTGTGAGATTATGCAGGAAAGAGGTGGGTCATGGGTTCAAGAACATTTTAAAAACCACACATCACAGCAAGTGTTCAGAAGAATACAGATCATTTGGTGAAAAGAAATTCTTTTGCAGCTTTAGAAAAGTAAATTGAGCTAGACATGGCTAATGCAAACTATAGGTTGGATAACTTATCATGAATCACTAGAATCTAATTTTAGAGTATTTCTGACCTCCGCTTGTACTAAATGCAAGAGAATTCAGAGAATGCCGACTGCTCCCTATGCTCCTGAGCTTTTGATTCTGAGCTCGGCGAATGCGAACCACCAAAGCAAGTGCCGCGCAGAATGCCACCAGTGTGCCACCACCAACCAGAAAACCGATTTTACTCGAACCCAGTCTTCTTCTTTTATGTCCTCCTACTTTGTGAGTAGGATAACTTTCTATGGCACTGGATTCTTGAGTTGGTGGACCAGTTATACTCTGCTCATTTGGAAAATCCTCAAAAGGATACTTCCAGGGAGCGTATGGGTAATTTTTTCCACTGTCAAATCTATTGCCACCAAACCTGCATGCAAATGAAGTGGCAAAGCAGTATAAGCTTAGGAAACCAAATTAAGTAATCGAAGTCGGTGAATCATCCAATATCTTACCATAAGTTGTTTATAGATTGAAATTTTTCCGGGATAACACCACTAAAGTGGTTGTCCTCAATATTCCTGAAATAGATAGGATTGAGCGAGAGACGAACATAAAAAAGGCAACAAAAGTTGCTTCAAGCATATTATACAGAAAAACTCACAAATCTGAGAGTGGGAGGTCAGCCAAATATACTACAGATCCAGTAAATTCATTTCCCTGCAAATATCTGCAACAAAAGCTAATATTATTCACCCATGTTGAAGACAGAAGGCGTATGAAATTCAGTGAGGGCAAACAAGACTCACAATCTTGTAAGATTTGCCAAAGATCCAAAAGAACTAGGTAGATCTCCACTGAACTTATTGTATGACAAATCCCTGGCAGAAGAGGTTGATGTTTTCGACAATGGAAATAAGTTAATGTACACAATTGAATCCTAATCCCATGCCTAGACAGTTTGCAATTAATCAAATAAAGTGACAAAGCTTCAGGTCTAACAGAGGTTTAATGTTTCAATGCAGCACTCTTGCCATCCATTGGAGGTCAAAATTTTCAGTTAGTATTGCTCAATTTTTAATGGTTCCTCAGAGCATCTCCAGTCACCCATAATCAACAAAGTTGCTAATGGTGTACTTCATCCATTCTTTAGGATGCAAGAACTGTTATCAAGCTCCGGTATTATGCACGAAAAAACTTGAGCTGAAATTAGCATGATTATTTTGAATTGCAAAGTAAACCATTTTCTGATGGCCTGAGGCTTCAATTTCTAAGAGCCAATGCAACATGCATACTAATTGGCCTATATCAGAACAAGCCAAATGCAAATGATCCCTTAATGCTGGTAAATTAGCATGGATGCAATTATGAATATTAGCAAATTAATCCACTTCCTGACAAAACAAAACAACTCCAGTTCATGAAGTCTCTGTTCACAGTGTGCTACAGCCTACAAATTTAAGGAACAAAATATGAGTTTAAAGTAATCATACATCTCTATCAGCTTTTCAAGGTCAGTAAAGACATCTCCCAATACTCCCGATAAGGCATTGTGGCTCAGATTCCTGAAAGCGTTACTTCTGTTACTACACGATAAAATCATTGCGGTAGACAGTCAAGGGACATGTTGCTTACAGATGCCGGAGATGCCTCATGTAAGACAAAGAGACGGGAATGTTTTGACTGAAGTTGTTGTTAGCCAAATTCCTGTATTCACCAGAAAGAAAAAGTAGAAGAGTCGATTTGCCAGCAGAGATCGAAGTTATTTTGCTTCAATGATTCAGTAAGAAAGAAGTCTTACAGGTGAGTGAGATTAATAGGTAAACCGAGTGGGATCTCACCCTGAATGTTATTTGAGCTAACGTCCCTATCAAACAAAGCATACAAAAGAATATCAATCACTAAATTATAGAATCTTGAACATGGAGTTAGAGACTAGCCAAAAAAGACTCAGAGTTGCTAGCTTACAGCTGCTTCAAGCTACGTAAGTTGAAGAGCTCCAGACCAAGATTACCAGTAAGCTCTAGTCCATGTAGGTTGCTGCAGAAGAGAAATAAATAACTTAAATCTGTCTTTAACAAATTGAAATTAGCTGATGAAATAAAAATGTTTGACTAGATTATGCGATTATACACGAAGATTACTGATGAACCAGTGCAGGAAATTCCCTCCCATGATTCATCACATGGATCACCACCTTCTGATTTCCAACCCTTCAACTGTGGCGGCCTATTCAGGGCATTATACATTGATCGAAGTACTTGGACTGCAGAACATATGTACAACAATTATAATCCAGAGACCTTCAAATTTGCTGAGTTATCTCCCTTAAATGAGTACATTTAGCTAGTTCTCAGATCTTATTGCTCAAGCCCAAAGGAACAGAAAAAGGAAAAGCAGAATCATATTATTGATATGCATCGTTTGATCATCAGAAACTTCTCTTGACTAAAGAATGTGACAGTTAATCTTCTTCCCACTTTCTAAATTAAACTGCACGACCATTAAAAATTGGCCTTCACGTTAACAGATCACAGATACCGAATCATCAAGATACAAGAGTACTTACTAGCCATTATTAGGAGCAATGTGAAAAACAAGTTTACATTAGAGAAATCATCATACTACTGAATAATAACATGCGTATATTCTTTGATACAAGGAGAAATTAATAAGAAAAGAGAGAATGAAAGTTAGAGAATAGTACCATCAAGATCATCTGTACGGGCCAAAACATTCAAGGACAAAATTGCTGAGAAGAAAATCCCAGCGAAACAGAACAACATCCAGCGCTTAGCCATCGTCCTTCGCCAAATTAATCACAAAATGCTAAACCAGAAAACACCTGAAAAATTAAACAGAAAGAATCAGCACCCATTTCAAGAAAGAAGTAAAAAAAAAAAGAAAAAAAGAGAGTAATCAAGTATCATTAATAAGAATTAAAAACCAGATCCTTTATTTCATTACCAAACGAAGCTGCTTTTTTAAACCAAATTAACCTGAGAATACAGAAAGAACAAAGCCCAGAAAAAAAACACTCGTGTAATTCTACTCTCAAGTCAAAAACGTCTGAAGCAAAAACTGAAAAAGATATTCAAGCTTATACAGAATTAAAGGGTTCAAGAAGATCAAGCAGGACGAATTTTTACTCGTCAAGCAAGAAATCTTAAGATTTTAAGAAGAGCGAATCAAAATTCTTGAGCTCTTGAGCTTCTTTTCCAGACTTTACCGGGAATTCAGGGAAAATGTAGAGTATACCTCTCTTCTTTCTCTTTCTCTACTGTGCCGGTGAGAGCGAGGAAGTGTGTGTGTGTGTGTGTGTGTTGAGGGTGGTGGTTTTTATCGAAGAAGTGTTCTGCTCGTTTTGGAGGGAATGCTTTATGGCGGTTAGTTAGTTAAAGATTTATCGTTCAAGCCCACCTTTTCTACCTGGCCCACGCCAAATATTTTGATTTGCTAGTCTTTTTTTTTTAAAAAAAAAAAAGATAAAACGAGGATTTCATTCATTCAAATCATTGATCAATACTAGTCTTTATTATTTGATAAAGGAACCAAAGTTCGGAAAAATTTTAGAGAAAAGCATGACATTGTACATTTAGAGGTGAAAGATCGACTATTTTTTTCTTATTTTGGAGGGACAAAAAATTACTCAATGTGGACATTTATCTTGGCTTGAGATTGGTTAATCAACTTATCAAACTAGATTTGATCAAAAGTTTATTTTTGTTAACTTTTCTTACTAAGTACAATAATCATAACAAAGGATATTCTTTTACATTGAAATAAATCAAATTACTTGAGCTGTCATCGAGCTAGATTGGATAAATAATTTCTTTTGAGTTTAGCTTGATAATGGTCAAAACAAACTCGATTATGATTTTAAATTCGTCAAGAAAATGAAATCAAACTTGAACATTGTAATCATTGATTTGATTAAGCTCATTCTTTCAGACTTGCAAAGTAAATAAAAAATGTACGAACTTTTTGATGCGTTGTTAGATGTGTAAAAAAACCTTATTTAGACAAACGTTCTATGTAAAAACATTCAAGGAGATCAAGTCCATTTTATGTTAAACGTACAAAAGTATTTGAAGTTGACTTGATTATTATTTAACCAATTTGACACTGGTTTTTATTGAGTTGGAGATTCATTTGACAATAAAGTCTACACACTTTTGTACTTTATGAATGGGAGGTTCTCTTTTTTTTTTTTCTTTCTTTTTTAAATGTATGAATAGAAGTCTTATATGGAAAATGTACATGTTGTCCCAAAATCTAGAATATTAATTATATAATGTAATGCTAAGTTTCAAACCAAAATAAATAAATAATATTTATTTATTTATTTATTTATATGTATATAGGGATGTTAATATATTTGTCTTAAACAAATATGAAGCAGCATCAGGTCAACTAATCAATTTAGAGAAATCCTCAGTGTTCTTCAGCAAGAACATTGAGCAGAGGGTAAAGGAAGCAATAGGGGAAGAACTGCGAGGAATTCGAGCTGTACATCAAGGGAAGTACCTGGGGCTACCAATGATAATTACACGATCAAAAGAACAAATTTTTGGGTTTATAAGGGACAACATAAGGAAAAAGATGGAGCATTGGAAGACAAAGCTACTCAGTCAAGCAGGCAAGGAAACTCTATTGAAGGCAATAACTATGGCTATGCCAACGTACGCCATGTCCTGCTACAAGCTTCCCCAAAAGCTATGCAAGGGAATTAGTTCACTGATGGCTAAATGCTGGTGGGGACAAAAGGAGAAAAAAGATAAGCAGCATTGGATTGCTTGGGAGAGATGCACCAGAATCAAGGAAGAAGGAGGAATGGGCTTCAAAGATATTCAGCTGTTCAACAAAGCCTTACTTGCAAAACAAGTTTGGAGAATAATGACCTAACCCAACCTTCTGGTAAGTAAGTTTCTGAAAAGTAAATACTTCAAAGATGGTTCAATGCTTGAGAGCAAGATCCCCAAAAACGCATCTTGGATTTGGCAAAGTTTTATGAGTGCCAGAGAGATAATTAGAGAAGGGTGTAAAAAAAGGATAGGAAATGGAAGGGGGACCAACATTTGGGAAGATAGCTGGATCAATAACGACAGTGGAGGAAGGATCAAAACTCAGAAACCAGAGGGATGTAGCTTGCAAAAGGTCTCACAACTCATTGTTCAGCATAGATGGAATAGAGTGTTAATCTTTAAAGTTTTTAATAGGGAAGATGCAGAACACATCCTCAATATCCCAATAAGCCTGGCAGAAAGAGGAGATTGTTTGGTATGGAAACACTGCAACACAGGTCAATACACTGTAGCATCTGGCTACAAACATTTGCAGCAAGAGAAGAGGAAACGAAGGGAAAAAAAGTAACAAAGGAGAAGGATGCAGCTATCAACAAACAGATAGGAAATTATCTAAGGCACTTTGGAAGTTACCTATCAAATATAAGTTGAAAACTTTTGTGTGGAAATGCATCAATAATAGGATACCAACAAAGGCTCAAATCTTCCATAGGACACAAAGAGGAGAACCGATATGTTGTGGATGTGGAGAAAAAGAGGAATCAATTGAGCACATGCTGCTGCAATGCAAGATAGCAAAAGGAATATGGAAATTTGCATTAGTTAACTGGGATGGACTGGAAGACCAAACAGGCTGTTTCAAACAATGGTGGACCTCCATGATGACGCATGCAAGAACCAGGCAAGAAGGTGATGATCACATAGCGCTAACTGTCAATGTGCTGTGGCAAATTTGGAAATCGAGAAATGCCAGAATGTTCAACTCAGCACAACAACATCCCCTTAAAGTGAGTGAAAAGCTGCTAAAGAATGGAAAGAGTACCAGGAAACAATTCAGCAACGACCAAGGAAAAGCACAACAGAAACAAGAAGGCAAGAAGAGAACAATCAAAGAGAGCAAACTGGCTCAGAAGTGGTAACACTAAAGCTGACGACCCAACACCAGAATGGAAACAAATCCTTTGGTATAGGCATCACAGCTGCGAATGGCGCAAGCCAAGGAATTGCAGCCTGGTCGCTAAAGGAAAGGCAAGCAGGGAACAAAGCTCAGGACAATGCATAGGCTGTGAGGCTTTGTATGATCAAAGCAGCAACAAAGGGATGGTGAGACATCAAGATATGAATTGAGGATAGAAAACTGCTTGACCAAATACGAGCGGGAAAAGCCAGGAGCTTGGAGTCAGCCACTATAATAGAGGACATACAAAAAATGACTTCATGGTTTCGAATGTGCTTTTTTGATAGGTTAAATGAGGACATTGATAGCCTATGCTATAGTTTGAGCAAAATTGCTCTTTTAAACTTTTGTGACATGGAGTGGAATTACTCCACCCCAGAGTGCTAAATGCATTAATGTTAAAATAGGAGCCCTTGCTCCAACAGTGTATAGTTTGGTTGTGATATAAAATTCCTAACGTTTCGGGAAAAAAAAAGAAAAAAAAATTAATATATTTGTATTTGTGTGTTTCCCAGGGGCATAATTGCCTATTGGCTGGAAGGTTGAAACGACAACGCATTGCTGAATCACTTTGGAGTTTTGAACTGAACCTTCGCCTTCCTCGGGACCTCGTCCCCTTCCCATCTTTCCAGTAAAATTGCAGTGCGGAGCTGTGGTGAACGAGTATATGTAATGTATCCCGTGAAATAGAAGTTGGTTGCAGCAGTAATTTTTCTCTCTCACACAGTCACACAGTAAGAGCGAAACGAAGCATATAAGGATGGCGGAGCAACAAGAACAAGAAGATTACATGGGAGACCTCTCTCAGTTTTTACCTCCACCAGAAGCCTCCCATCTTCCTCTCAAATCTTCCTCTAAATCGGTCAGTTCCACTCACTCACGCAACTACAGAATTTGGGTCTTGTAAATTGCTCCTTTTTTTTATTGGTTTTTTATATCATAATTGGTTCATGATTCATAAATTGAGGTTTATATTGAAATCTTCAACCCTAAAAAACCCTAGCAAATTAGCTTATGATTGGTTCAATACAAGAATCTTTATCTATTCATTTATTTAATTTGATCAATTAGTCTAATTTAGGACCCAGAGGAGATTTTTTTTTTTTGAAATCTTGAAATTAAGTAATATGATTAGTTAGTCCTTATTTTCACGTTGAAAGTCCAATTTTTTTCTTATTGGTCAATCTCATTTCCAATGTAATTCATGATGGTGTCTGGTGAATTTATTGAAATAATTTTACAAAAAAAAAAAAAAAACGTCCTGATTTTTATACTGATTTCAGGTTTCTAATGCCAGGGCAGTGGTTTCGAGCTCATTGAATAAGAAATCTAAGAATTTAAATTGGCAAGAAAGGAAAAAACTCAAGAGAGAGCAGAAGCAAATTGAAGAAGACCAACAAACAATGGCTAACGTAGAAAAAGCTATTCCACAATCCAACATTGGGTTTAAAATGTTGAAACAAATGGGATACAATCCTGGTTCAGCTTTAGGCAAGGAATGTTCTGGTCGGGCTGAGCCTGTCAGGCTGGAGATTAGGAGGGGTAGAGCAGGGATCGGGAAAGAGGATCCCAAGGTGGAGCAGATGAGGAGGGAGAAAGAGAAGGTTGAGAGGGAAAGGATCAAAGAAGAGGAGTTGATGGTGGATTTCGGGCATCGACAAAAGGAGCGTTGGAAGGGAAGAAGAATCATTGTGAATTTTCGGAAGGCGGAAGCGGCTTTGGCCCAGTTGGAGAATAGGGAAGTTGAAGAGGTTGAGAAGAAGGAAGATGAGAGTGGAGAGAAGGAAGAAGAGGAGGAAGAAGAAATAACGGAGGAGGTACGAGTGTCTTTTCCATTGCTTGGGTATATCGGTATCATTTGCTGAATCTTCGAGTTGATCTTTACGGCTTTGTTTGCAAGTTGGTGTTCAGCGTCTTTGTTTTGTTGTGTTGAAGGGTTTAGTAACAGAGTGTTTTGAGACTAGTTTTTGGTGTTCTAATAGATGATTAATTGGATAAGTTTCAATGGTTTTTGGTGAACTTGAAAGATGCCTTGTTTTGTTGAATTGTGTTACAAGTATTCTTTATGTCTAAGTAAGATGCAGTTTGGAAACAAAATTAAGTGGAGATGAACGCTAAATGTGAGAAGTCTGGACTTTTTCTTTGTTGAAGGTTTATCATGTGCATATCTATGATCATAATAGCACTGGTTGACCATGTAACTATACTACTATGAGGGAAGGTTGTTCAGTTGTTTTCTACTTCTTACGTAAGATTCTTCTCAGACACTATCTTTTCAGGTCAAAATTTGTAGGATTCTTTATTTGCTTAATGCGTTTGGTTTCTTTATTTGCTTAATGTGTTTGGCATGTTTTCAGTCTTGAGTATCACTGCAACTGCTTATACTTTCTGGCGCAGGATCTACTTGCTATATTGATGAAACTGAGAGATGAGCATTACTATTGTCTGTTCTGTGGCTGTCAGGTAAGCATGCTAATGTGACAATATTACACCAACCAACATGATTTAGTAATTTCTTTGGCTAAAGAGAAGAAATTAAGCTCTAATTTTTTTAGTAATTCTCAAGAAGCATTTTCCTTTCCCTCCTGCTGAACTGAAAGAAAGAACTACAGCATACCAGTTGTAAAGACAAATGCAGGAGCATCTTTTTTATTTTTTATTCTTTTTCATGCAATTGTTTTTTCCTTGACTTATCATTCACTTCTTGTACTTCTCCAGTATGAGTCAAAGGAGACGCTCTTGTCCTGTTGCCCTGGTGTAGACGAAGATGACCACTAGAGTGATAAAGATAAATACGCAATTGACAAGTACTCTTATCCTTTTCTGGAGCATCCTAACATCTTCTTTGCTTATGGTTCACTTCTTCAACTTCTCCAGTACGAGTCAAGGGAGCGACTCTTGTCCAGTTGCCTTGGTGTAGATGAAGATGATCACTAGAGTGAGAACCCTTGATACAGAATTTGACGTGGGGATTGTGAGATCAGGAGCAGATCTTACAGATGAGCAAATACTGCATAGGGACTTGGGCAAGTGTCAGATAACTTTGATTGAAGGTACTGGCCTTTGAAAATCTCACATGTCCAAGCTGGTAAGAAGCAAAGTGACAAGTTGGAGGATGACTTTTTTAAACTGGCCAAATTAATGTAAAAGCTGGTGTGTTGCCCATGTTCAAGTTGGCCAACGTATTTTGAGAAGACACAAAAGCATGTAGCTTTGAGTTATGTATCTTGATCAGAACCTCTAAACGTTTTCAATATGCCAAGATACTGTTAAGACAGCCAGGCTGCTTACTGGCTAAGGTGTTTTGTGGAACGTTGGCATCTCAATAACTTGCACAATTTGGAGTTGTTCATTTCCCAGAAAAAAATGAAATTATAAGTGCACAATCCTTTCTGTTTTTGCGATCAACCTTGATGCTTGTAATCGATTCTCATACTTAAAGCCTCCGTTGTTCCTCTCAACGGTCCTAAAATGTTCCTCACACTTAAAAGTGAACTTTCTGCTTCTCTGTGGTACAAAAGTTAGTGCACTGCAGAATGATGCTCAGCAGATGTTGCCTTGATCATTTAGCAGCTGATGTTTATTTATTTTTATTTTTATTTAAAGGGAAACTCGAAGCTTTGCAAGTGAAATGGTAAGAACTTGGGAGTCAAATTTGGAATTTTTCTTGGTCACCTGGTTAGTAGAACTGGGTTGAAGACTAACAGCAAATGAAGAATAACTATTTACCCGCTAGGTCCAAATGGTACAGAATCATTCCCAGCAAGGTTTAAATAATACGCAGAACAACAGTAGCGAGATATCACTTTAGCTACATTAGCCATTCTTCTCCTCCCTCCCTCCCCCCAGGGTTTAACAATTCACTAGCAAGATATCACTCCCTGATAATTGGTCCTGCAATCCAACTCCCTGTATTGGTTGTTTTACCCTCAGGGGAGAGAGAATTCTGGTAGTCAAAGACAATTCTCAAGAACATTAAATTAAAACACATCTAATCCTATCATCATTCCAAACAATTCACAAGACAGTAAATAAAAACACACAAACTGCTATTATCATTCCAAGTCTTAGGCAGCATGCAGAAACGAGACTGATAAATGTTACTGTCAGATAGCACGCAAGTTATTAGTCGATTGAGAAGAAACAAACTGACACATCGATTTATTTGTTAAGCATAAAAGTCTCCAGAAGCATACAACGAGAACTCAGCCATTCAAAGTGACCAGTGCATGTGCTGAATGGAAGAATTATAACCCCGAGAGTGTTCGAGTCCCAGGTATTCTCGTCCATTCTGCGAAGATGCATCAAGATCCCCAGAATACTGACTACTGGCAGGCTGTGAAAGTTGACCTAATCCCAGCTCAGGCGGAATCTCATTCGATCCACTATTATTTTCACCACCCTTGAACCCCCACATTGGGCTTGAGAAGTGATCGATGGCCTCACCATGGGAACCAGATGCTTGAATCACTCCACAGGGCGTCCCATTCACATTAGCTAAGCCATTAGCCCCAAGACTCGAAGATTGGTTTCCTGAGCCCCAGGAGTGAGTTGACAGAAGAGAGAGAGCACGACTGGAGTCTGAGACTCCAGCCAGACATCCTCCTGAAGAAATAGCAGGACCCACATAGGTGGTCCTACCTGCTGAACCGTGCAGTAGAAGCTCAGATGGAGGATTTTCAGGGTTGCCCTGCCATGGATGTTGAAGAAATTTTCCAGTGCCAGTAGGTTGATTGCCCGTTGCTCGGACAGACACTCTTCCATTTGGCCATGAATCCCTCCCACTCAGAGCTGGGTATGCAGAGAAGTCCATCAGAAACCCTCCAGATCTGCTACTGGATTCTGTCAATAGGTGCATTATATAATAGTTCAAGTCATTCAACAAGGAGAGTAAAACATAGCGTATGTGGTAACCGTACAATGGCAACAATGGAGACGAGTTCAGATAAAACAAGCAGAAATCTAACCAAAGAAAGATGAAGACAAACTTCCGTAGCGACTTGACAACAACGATCCAGGAGGTGGCTTCCTCCTGCGCTCATTATGGCCAGCCAGGCGCCTGCGGCAACTTCGCTTTCCTTGGTCAAATTCAGGCAATTGATGGAACCTAGAATCAGACTTTCCTATTAATTTATTGAATCATTAAAAGCTGTGGAATGCAATTAGAGTTGATTTTTCCATTCACATTCATTTGTTCTCTCCATGACATAACCCTGAAGCCTTCTAATGCTTCAAGATTAGAATCTGGATTGCAATCAGATTTGATTTCTACATTCACTCTAAATTGTTTTCTCCATTTCATAATCCTGAACTGTTTTTAATTTTTCAAGGTTACAAGTACCAAGGAGTGCTGAATTAATTATGGATTAGCAAGAACACATTGAAACACACTGATTCATTCACTCGTTCCCCTCTAAGGTGAAAGTTTTGTGATCAACATTTTTGAATGAGACAAAATTCAAAGCAATTGGAGACTACTCTGAATATTAATACTACCACTATCACCATGCATGTTCTACTGTTACCCACTTAAATCAATTATCTATGTCCTTTGTAGAAAAGCTAAAAGCGAAGAATGTGTAGTTAGTGTTAGTACATTGTCCTCATTTATGAACTATAAACTTCCACAAAGGATATATACATAGGCAACCATGGACGACATACAAGCCACAGAACAGATGAAGGAATTTATGCTGCTTCTTGTGTTGGTTGTTTTTCCATACACACAGCATGTAGAATTAATGCTACCATTACCAGATTTGGTTTTAGGGTATCATGTATGCATAACTGCAATGTAGGATTGCTTTAAACATGAGGTACAATGCTGATGGTGGACTTTTAGTTCACAGGCTAAAGGTAAATGGATGACAAGATGGTGCTCATCATGCATTGAAAGGAAAATGGCTGAAGACTTCTGACTATTTGGGTCTTCTATTTCGGATTAAAAAATAGTTTCGGAGGCCAAAAAGGCGAGTTGGGTCAAAGATATATTAGAGTAGCTTTCTGTACACAATTTGGTTGATTTTGGCCTCTGTACTATTCCTCGACGTTAAGAAAAAATGAGCTGCTTTCAAATAGATGATAAAGAACTAGACAGAAAATATCAACCTTTCAAGTCTGCTGGAACAAAAACCGTAAGCACTAATCCCTCCTCTACTGTTACTAGGATGGCCACAATTTCATAAAACTAATGTCATAGGTTACCAAAACAAGGTAAAACTCCCTATAAATACTATAAACCACAAGCAGAATCCAAGGGATAATACTCTAGTAGTTTTTTACCATAATAGCAAGTTAAGAAACTCAGGTAAAGAAAATATTTAGCTCGTGGGTAGCTCATTAAGTCCCACAATTGTTTGAAAGATACAAGTGGACTGCTTCACATGCCAGCATGAGCCAAGGTTTATTGCATTCAATGGTTGATAAAACTCATAATGGTCATAGGAATACTGAAAAGATTAAACAGTTGATCCTTAGTGCAACTTAGAGAACTTGAGTTTGTCTCACCATCAAACAAGTTTGTCTGTGTGTTAAAAAGCATACATGCACATCATGTAGAGATAAAGTTCAGCTCGGAAAGCAAACTCTCCAAGAAGCATTGTGAAATGGCTTTAAAGCACTCCACCTACTGTCATATGGAAAGCAATTAGACTTGTGGTGGGCCTGTTGTACTCACTCATATATTCTGGGCACTTAGCTTTTGACAAGTGGTGACTGTTAACTTTCAGATTTGTGAAGCACAGGGACAAGAAGTGAATTTAGGATGATAAGCTTTAAAGCCTAGACCTTAACATTTAATAGGAACACCTCAATTCTGACAAACAACAAAGAGACAATCAACTTCCACAAACGGGTAAGTTAGTTTGAGTGGCATCAGCATGGTGTGAAACATGAAAACAATAACAAAATTACTCAATTATGATCTTCTAGTTCAATTTTAATTTTATTTTATCTTATTTTGTAAGTAAAGCTTGGATCATGGGCTTTCCACCAAAAAAAAAGTACAGGGGCACCTTAATTTAGGTCCCCCCAAGAAAGCTATTGATCTTGATATTAGGCATTGTACAGTCACCTATATGCAAACAGCTACTAAGCCCTTTGGAAGAGGACACCTTTTGTTATCTAGAACCCACTATTAAGTGTGCCTTGAGTGGTTTACATCCATTTACAAGCAGAAAAAAAATTTTAGTAGGGCCTTGGTGAAAGCTATTAATCTTACTAAAAAGGCATACAGTCACCTGTACAGATCCTCTTGAGTGGAGATAGTCAACAACAACCAATTACTTTTGATTTACTACGTTGTAAGCTGTCACAGGGCCTTGAGAACCTCAATAAGGTACCTTAGACTATTTCCATGCCTAAACCTAACCACAAGATATCTTTAATCAAAGAAATCTCATGTCCACAAGTATCATGGTGGACCATCACAAACACCCATCAAATTTAATGTGGTTTGAGCATGCACCATAATCTGCAGTGTGTGATTACAAAAGCCTTCACATTACATGAATCTAGGCAACTCAAGATCCAAGAGCCCAGAAAAGAAACTGCAATCAATTAAGTCCCCATTGTCCAAGTACCGCTATTTGCATGACAAAGCACAAAGGAGGTTGATATGAGAAAAGTCAGGATTGCATTTGTCCATTCGACATGAAAATGTTCAGCCAAAAGATGTTTAACACTAAAATTTCTAGTTACTTAAGGATACAGGCATAAGGTTTTAAAGTGAGAAGAGAGAGTAGCCAATTAATGGGAACGAGAGAAGAGAAACAACTATTGAGATTGGATTTGTTTCAAATTGAGTTAGGCAAGTTTCTAGAGATTCAGCAAAAACTGATGAGGGTCTCTTCATTTTAGGCAGCTTCCACATTTCTTCCTAAGATCGCCTCATAGTAGAAACAGCATTTATCATGGTACTACATGTTTCTGGGGTTTCATAGCTCCATATCAATGGCTTTAACTTTTGGTAGATGTTTGGTGATGAAATTCATGGAACAGTTAGCACTAATTATTAGGCAAGCAACCTTCTTCATGGCATCACAGGTATGGCACATAAATACAATTCCAAGCAGCTTTCAACAATTTAACATAAAGCATTTTGAGCCATCAATAACATATGTTCCACAAGCACGTGGCTTTCAATTTTATCAACCAACATGAAATGTACTTGAGAACAACATATACATCATCCAATATTTATTCACCTGAAGAAATTAAGATAGTTCATTATATGTCCATCACTATATAAAGTAGTCCTGTAAGACCACCATGTCTTTGCAGTTACAACCTAGTATACTCCTCCCCCAGTCATTAACCAGAGACTGAGGTCATAGAGAAGAGCAGCGCGTGCTTGGACATGCAGACAGGGTCTCTTACAGCCGTTTACTGATCATCATGCCACCAATTTGACTCTTTGAACTGATCATTTGTATTCTGTTAAAGTTCTTATCTTTATATTTGACCATAGAGCAGCAGTCTAATAGGATAAAGTAATCCAATCAACAACAAACCAAGGTTCTAATATCTTGCTGCGAACCAACCATGACCAAAGTGGAGGAAGAGAAGCACATAATCAATGAACTATTTGTCTTTTATCCTGTCCTTGAGCAAGAACACCAGTGCCTAGCATACAATTATTAAGCACTTATATCAAGCAATTTGATATCCGGAAAATCAATTATCAGTCCAGGTACTTTATTCTGGTCCACACCACCCGTACAGCACAAACAAAATTATGAACTTTGAAGTCCATAGTAATATATCCTTGGCTGCCAATATTCGTACTCCACCTCTATTTTCCGGCCCTCAACTTGTGTTTGGATTGCATTTTCTGTCATTTTTCATGGAAAAATTACTATAGCGATTTGATATATGTGAGGGAAAAAGGTGATAGGAAAATGTGATCACGGAAAACGATAATATTTTTGGACGAAAACAAGCAATCCAAACAAGGTTATCTCTCAAAGCACCATTGCACTCTCCTTATTAACTAGTACTTAAATTCATTAGAACATAAGAGAACTCGAAAATATCATCGAATAGGTTTCAGAAATGCATTAGGAATGATTGTTAGCATAGAAGTATTAATTAATCTAATTAGTCCTAATCTGCAAAATCCAACTGACCAGACATCTTGCATTAATATTTAAATCATTCTAAACATCACAGCTTAGGACTTTTGATGGCTAGTAGATTATGGACCCAACTAAAAGAACAAGACAAAAAGAATGCAGAACCAGTTTCCAAAACTCTGTTTCATCAAGGACCACAGAAGGAAAATGGTCAACTAAAACAAAATACAAGGTAGTTTTCGTGTGATTCAGCAGAAAAACAGAGATTTAAGGCGTTAATAATTTTTCTCCCTAGGCTGGGGGGACCAGACTAACGGATGAGTGGGGTACTCTGAGGGAGGATAGAAGAAAACACCCTGAAAGAAAAAATAAATAAATAACACAGACCACAACCGCCCACCAAGATTTATTTAAAGCCCATTGCCCCGCCTAAACAAGATAAACAACTATCAGTCCAGAGAAGCAATCTAATTAACCTCAACATAGCTATCTGTACCTACCCGGCATAAGGTAAAAGCTCAGCAAACTGGTAACCGAGGAACCAAATTCTACTCATTCATGATATCCAAATTGAGCAGCAATCTATCTGAAACTCATATGCTACCTCACTGTACCGCACAAGTAAGTTCATAAATTAAAGTTCTTGAAAGGTAAAATAAGCTGAGCTGACCTGCTACACTGCTGGCAAAACCTCTGCTGGAGGCCAGCAACAATGACAGTAGGAGACTTGGAATGAGCACCACAAACTTTATGCCTTGAATAGTAAGGTTTAGCATCACTCAGATCTAATTTACATCCTTCAACCTGACACCTAGGGGGCTGGCCTCCACCTGGGGCCACCCCACTTCTCCCTTTCTTAGCCGGAGCAGGGGGAGGCCTCCCAGACTCAGATGCCTTGGACTCAGAATCAACACCGCCACCAGGCTTACTGCCCTGCCGGGCCTGCCCTCCTCCAGCTCCATCAGCAGTTCCAGCAACAGCAGCCTCAAAGTAAATTTTCTTCCCAAACTTCAACCCATTAAGGGAATCAGATGAGCTTGGGGATGATGAAGAAGAGCCTGAAGCCAGTTCCATTTTTGCAGCCTAGAACCCAGTTCATGACTTCAACATCATCCTCGTCATTTCCCTTTTCCCCTCGTCTGTTTTGTTGAGTGGCCAAATCAAGAAAACTCGTACTCTTAGACCTTCACCCCTGTACCTATAAATGTAAAGACCAACAGCAACTAGAGTGGAAAAGGCGTTTTTGTTTTCCTTTTTATAAGAATATTTGCCTCGACGACTGTAGTTGTACCTGGAATAGTGTGTGTTTGTTGGCAGTTTCAAGAGGGAGCGTGGGAATATGAGGGAAGGACTCAGGATTCAGTAGCAGTAAGTAGTGAGTAGTTTTAGAAAGTTGATTTTGGTAACTGGGGAGTTTGTTTGGAGAAAGTAGAAACAAAGGAGAGTGAGTGAGCTAGCTAGGGAGGGTTGGAAGGAGGAGGTGAGGGTTGGTATAGTAAAGAGAATAGGAGACAGATGACAGGACAGGGCCATCAGGCCAGCTTGGGAGTTGTGCAAAAAACTCTGAACGCACCAAACATTTCTTTTCTTTCCTGCTGAAGACTGAAAGAAAGAGGGCTGAAGAGGCCAGACAACCACCACTACTACTTCTACACAGTGCAAGGAAAGAAAAAATAATGGAGGTGAGAGTGGCAACTCACAAACTGGGAAAGCAAAGCGATTTTGTTTTGAGAGATGATGGTAAGAGGGAGCTGAGAGGTGTCGCTTTTTCTCTGAGTACTGCCTTTTGTTGGAGCTCTCTCCAAGTCTCAGCAGCTTTACGAGCCCCACTTTTTGGGTCACTAACTCAACTGTCGTTTTTAAAACACGGTTAATGACACTTTGCCCCCCTAATAGTGGGAGTAATAACACTTTGCCCCCTCAATAAAAATAATAGCAAGCACTTTACCCATTAGACAATACTAATATTTTATTTAGTATTTTTTTATAAGTACTTATTTCATTTGAAAATATAGAAAATTTGATTGCTTAAGTATGTTGATAATTCTATCACCATGATCTTTTAATTTTATCTTTAGACAAATTGATCCAATGAAAGCATAGGTTATAACTTCTAACACCATTCATACAATAGTTTAGTCCATGATATATATATATATATATGTATTAGTAGGTAATATACATAATGTATATCGATATGTAAAATTCAATAATTCAATCTATAATTGGGAATTTGATAATTCCATTCTGAAACTATTTTATCAAAATTTAATCTTGAATTTAGTAATTGAATTTGAATATCTATTCTCAAACTGTTTTACCAAATTTTAAAGTTTGGATATCAATCGATTTCTTTGATCAATATCCAATATCAAACGAAGACTAGATGAGCCTTTTTTATCAATATCTTTGGAGCTAAACATCCCTAAATGTGTGCTGCTTAAAAAAAAATTTTCTAATGCTAAATATGACTTCTATTCCTCAATAAATGTCCTTTGTAAATTACTGTTATTTCTCAATAGCTTGGGAGCACGTTATTTATCAATAACATAAGAGTCGAATTGTCAACATATTTAAATAGTCCACTTTTCTGCTTTTTAAATGAAATACTTGCCACAAGTACCGAATAAAATATTTTCAAATGGATAAAGTGCATATTATTTTCATTGAGCGGAACAAAGCGTTATTACTCCACTTTCTGGGGAGCAAAGTGTTATTAACCCTTTAAAATACTCATTAGTCCCCGGACTCTCTCCTCCCACCGTCCACTCCTCTCCATTTTTCCATATAGAGGTCTCTATAACACAGCCCCAAAATACTCATTAGTTCTAGATCTCGTTAGAATTGCATCTTTATTTTTTAAAGATTTATGTGGAGTGCTATGTGTGTTTTAATAGAAGATTATTTGGGATAATTAAAAGAATATGGTAATGATTTTTTAATGTGATGTATATGAGATAAAAAAGGAAATTAAAAATGTATTTATGATATAAACAGATAAATTTGTGTAAATAATTTGCTAGCCAAACACACTAGATATCACTTTTCTAAATCCAATTAAATTCATAGGTATAGGAAGAAATCCACTTAAGCACAATGAGTGTGTTTGGACAGGAGATTATTTGAATTGTTATTTGAAATAAGTACTGTACCCTGTGAAGATTGTAACACATTTGAAATTAAAAAAAAAAAGATGATTAAAAAGATAAAAATATGAGTAAATTTTACATACACTGACGGCGTATACACTATCACGTTTGGATATATGACACATATACAAAATTTTAATTTGTTTGGATTGTGTTTTATTTCTCCAATTTTATCTGCTTACATCATCATTACAATTTCCAATACACCTTTTTATCTTCCCAATTACCTTTTTATCTCACACACATCACATCACAAAAAGTGCTACAGTAAAAATATTCCAAATAAAACACAATCCAAACAAACCTGTGTGGTGAAAGTGTATAAACTGTCAGTGTATAGAAAATTAATCCTTAAAAGATTGTTTGCTTTCGTTCGTGTTTAGTTCCCACCAGATTTCCATCTTTCTCGGATAAAGCATATATAATATATGTGCCATAAAAATATAATTAAAGAACGTACGAGAAGGATATTCTAAAAAATTATTTTCCACAAACCTCGCAATCCAAATATATCTATGTTAATGTTGTGTAGATATCTGCATTAGCTAAATAACTTCGTTTCTGTAAATTGTTCATCATAATTAGTAAAAGCTATCATCATACTTGTGCAATATATGTAAATACGTATAATATAAAAATTGGTGGTAATGCAACATAATCTTTCACAATAACAAGAAATTAACTCATACTTTTGTTCTATAACTTTTAAATGTATTCATTGCTATTTATGTATGAATTTGTATACGTATTTTGCCCAACTCGTATTTTTGCGATGAACTATTAATCATATATACTTAAAAAAAAATCCGTATAATATGCATATGTACAACTGTCTCGTAATTCACTATGTTGTTCACTCACAAATTCAATCAGATTTTTAAAATTTCAATCCCCTCCAAACAATTAATTTTTATGGATTCTTCACCATAAATTGTTTGTAATTGTTGGAATCCTAGACACGCATGGTAAAAAGCGCAAGTATACATCATACATGTGTGAGTATATTTTAAATTGGCATAAGAACAGTAATTGTGACACATGATTGAAGGTTTTACGCATACTTAAGATTCGAGATATGTTATATTTTTGACGTAAATAAATTGTTCCTTTTTTTTTTTGTCAATTAAATAAATTGTTCTTTTGATGATAAGAAGATCCATATTTTGAGGAATTGCAACGTCAGATGTGGTAAGATCTTGGGAGCAATAGTGGGACCTTTGGGACATTATAGTGACAAGACGAGACATTATTACATTTTGACAAGATTTGGCCTTTGGGACCTCCACTCCATGGTTAAGACATGGAACACATGCTTGAGGTAAAAATTTGAACTTTGTCAAAGTTCGATCACCGGCATCTATGGCTTTGTTTGGATTGTAAATTATTTGAGATATTTTTACTGTAGCACTTTTTGTGATGTGATGTATGTGAGATAAAAAGGTAATTGGGAAGATAAAAAGGTGCGTTGGAAATTGTAATGATAATGTAAGCAGATATAATTTGACAAATAATTCACAATCCAAACAAAGCCGATTCCTTTAAAACAAAAGCCAAACCATGACAATCTTCATCCGACAAAGATGACAACAAGTGTGTTTAGATTGGCCATTTTCTACGAAAAGAAGAATCATATTTTATTGATTGTATCAATAAACACATTTTTTATAGTCAACTTTTTTACTTTTTTTAATCATATATTTTTATTTCACAATGATGACATCATAAAGAAGTACCGGAGTATTATTTCAAAAAAAAAATTCAAATAATCTTCTGTCCAAAAATTCATAAATTGATTTACATTTGTAATTTGCCCTATTTGTATAAAACAAATAATAAAGGATACAGCTACGTTAAGGAAAAAGATTTTGATCCCTAATACGTACACTTAGACGTAATGCATGCAGAGTAGTACATGTTTTAACTTTTAAATGCTTCTATCCTTTAAAAGCCTACCATGCTTATAAAATGACCCATTAAAGATTGTGGTCTATTTCCATTAGTCAATATGTGAAATTTCAACTTCAAAGGGGACAAAAAATGGAAAAAAGAAAACAAGTCTAGATGTTCTTATGTCTTTAACAATGACCGTTTGTTGTTTAAGATTCAACAAATACGATGTAGCACTGCACATCTAGCTCTTGATTCACAAATTCTCTGTCTTTTGTTCTATCTAAGAATATGCAAAAACACATACTCCTCATGGAGAGGGGGAGAGAGAGAGAGCAGAAGAGAGAATTTCTTAGAGAGACGCGTAAATATTAACTGTTGTTTTGCGATTGCACTTGTAATATTTATTTTTTATGATAAATGATGCGGGGTGAATTTCATGATTTCATCTGTAGCTTGAAAAGATCATAGTTCTGCGCCTATACTTCACCCTTAATTTGTGAAAATCCATATAAACTCACTATTTTTCCACTTTAAATTTCGCTGCTTCAAATGAAAATGAGATTCATCTTAATGCTTCTTATTACCTTTATATGTAAAATGGAAAAGATCTGAAAAAAACAACCTTTGTAATTTTTTTTTATTATTGGTCCATATTTGTAAAGAAAGTCAGTTACTACTTTTTTATTATTTGTTATTTGTATTTAACTTCCCTCGCTTTTATTAATATCTTTTATTAATAACTTCCCTCGCTTTTATTAATATCTTTTATTAATAACTTCCCTCCCTTTTATTAAAAGATATTAATATCTGAAAAAAATAACCTTTGTAATTTTTTTTTATTATTGGTCCATATTTGTAAAGAAAGTCAGTTACTACTTTTTTTTATTATTTGTTATTTGCATTTAACTTCCCCCGCTTTTATTAATATCTTTTTCGTTCCTTTACAATACAAGCATAGAGGCGATTCATCGAATAAAAGTGTTATCTCTCTTCTCAAAGTACCTTTTTTATAGTACTTTTTTTTTATTTTTTGTTACCAAAACCTTAATCTTAGAAGAGTTTAGTGTAATTTTGTAAACCTCATTGGAGGTCCGTGAAATTGTTGAAAATTTGAAGGGAGGTTTCTGAAATTATCCCTATATCTTCATGTAAATATTCATTTTGTACCTGGGAACATTACATTTATTGGGCATCTTTGTGCCAAATAAGCTTATTCAACAGAGACAGAGTA